AGTGTCACCATAAACTTCAATAAGCATTCGATGGGCTTCAGCCGCACTTTTCTTCTTAAAACAGAAAATCAAAACCTTCCGCAAATGTTGCTTGGTTAACACAAAATTCGACATTTCAAACACAGTAAAAATCAAGGTTTTTGTATGAAACTCAAAGCGACATAAACTGAATATCATTAGCAGATATTTAATCTCTCTGAAACCGCCAAAATCAGCTGTCACCATTCATAACAACTGGAGCAATCTTTAGGGAAACGGACCGAACTAATTTGTACTCCCAATAATACCGTAGGCCGTTTGTACTTTATTTGTACTTGTTTATACCTCAAACAATTAAACAAAAAATGAAAAATAAATGGCCAGTGCAATTTCAGGATTTTTTAATTTTATTTATGCCATTCGAAAGAGAATCGTTTGTACCCGTTCGTACCTTTCCTACTTTCGTTTGTACTTTAATGGATTCGGAAATACCAACGGCGAAAGGAGAGGTACAAACGAGTACAACGATTCTCTTTCGAATGTCGTTAGTCCAATGTTCAAAGTTAGTTTCAATGTTCTTTAAAAATGGCTGACTTCCCCTGTTGGCGCATTTCCAAAATTTTGAAATCACTGTATCTCCGAACTCTTTGAGGTAACTTCAACATCGGTAACTTTAACACTTAATATCTTGGTTTGCGGGACTAAACATGACGTTTTACTTATTCTTTCGTTTCATACAAAAATGCGATAAATGAATATAATTTTATTAAAATTGAAGGGCGTCTTCTAAATAATTATCCGAGAATTTATGAGAATAGAATAATAAATATATGTAAATAAGAACAAGCCTACGTGAAAAACATTTTCATCATTATCTTTAAATAAGAATTTTTTTTAATGAAATTGCATTCATTTTCACACGAATCTAATACTTCCATGTAAACAATATGGGACATCATCAATACGTTTTTTATTCTTTACCTGCATGCTTAGATTCATCAGTTCTGGATTACACTTCAATTCAGTTCAGTTCTAGTGCAATCCTCGTGATTAGGAATAGAAAAACAAACCTTGAGTCAAAACTTTAATTTATTATATTTTTTAAATCAGTGCTATCTCTTAATTTTTGCGGGAAGAGGGGAAGCAAATTATAAGAATAATCTCCCTTACACTATATTTCAAAAGTAATAATAGCAGTGAAATTTAATTTAGATCTAAACTGTATATTTATCGAATGCATACATACTGTACATACAAAGATTTCTGTTTCCATTATCAATTTTAACTTTTTTAATACAAAAATATTAGATTAAATCAATATTAGATTAAACAATATAAATATGTGCTCTACATTTTCTTTTTTTATGTATGTAAGATAGCTGATTATATGTATATAGTCACATATTTATCACGTATTTTCGTATCAGATAATATTGAAGATAATAATATTGATAAGATTAATAAATTCTATATTATAAGCAAATTATTTATTGCGTGTTTTAACAAAAACTTAAATATTTTATTTATTATTTTACTAATCTATATTATTTCATCTATATTATTTCAGAAAATTATTATATCTAATACTTTTTTCAGAAAATTAATATTTGTTTTCAATTCTAAAGGAAAGATTTATGAAAATTGTTTAATTATTATTTTCCTTTTTCACAGTGTTCCCAAGTTTTCAAATCCTGAGAGAATTAAAATTGTATAAGTTTAATATATCAAGATTTTAATAAAAATTTAAAAAATATTGTTTAAAAAATATAGATGATTTAATTTTATTTTTTTAGTTTGTTATAATTTCACTCAACTCACGATATAAAAAATAAGAAAAAATAAATTAAGTTTTATTAATTTTAGTAATTATACAGAATAGAGATTATATATTTTTTGACCTCCCCCCATTTTTTATCACTATTTGAATCATAAATAATAAAGATTATTATCAACATTGCACAAAAATGTTAAAATTCGGAAAAGGCCCTATTCTGCATAATTATCTAAGTTTTATAATTATCTTTTATGTAAAAATTACAAAAGGCCTTGTTTTTAAGTATTTAACTGTTAGATCTAACTCTAATAATATCTAATTGCTAATGCTATGAATAATCATAAAATGAACAATGTGAATATAACAATAATCAATATTAACTGTAATCACTCATTAATATCAGATCAATGCGCGTATAACTATTGGCCTGAGCGTGCGCAGACTTTATTCTATCCTCTACAGCACAAAAATTGCAGCAACAATGTTGCAATATTGCAGCGTTATTGCAGCGATATTACTGCAAATTCTGTATGGGATATTATCTTTAATCAATTATACTTAAAAACTATTGTAGCCTCGACATTTTCGTATTAGGATTTATTCTATTTTATTTTTAGAATACATGAAATTATTGGAGGTTGTGAATTTACTTGTGCTCAAGGTCAAATAAATATCATTTGTTGAAATCTTTCTACATTTCGAAGGTATATTTTTGTGAACTGCTCAAAATTGACACTTGATATTTATCAATTTTTAACCATGTAATTCTTTTTGTCGCTGAAATGGTCGGTTTAAGCGGCTCATAAAAATTTACCTTAATAGTGTGCGATGTATTTTAAGAATTTCAATTTAATATATATAGTTTTTATGTTCTTTAATTATTAATTTCTTTCGTTATCACTTCTTCTCAAAGATTAATTTTGTAATCATAAATTTTAATTATAACTTTTGTGTTACTTTAGGAAGGAAAAGAAACATTGAACAATGTCAATGCAACCGGTTTGGCTATGTTGTTTAGTGCTGGAACATTCCTTTATGTAGCCACTGTACATGTTTTACCAGAATTGATGACAAGAAGCAGTAATTATTCGCATGTGCCAAGCGTCGAGGGTATAACACTTTCTGCAACCGGACTTAAAGTTAAAGAAATATTATTCTTAGTAATAGGAATATTTTTACCTGCTTTGATTACAACTGGACATCATCATTAATTAAATTAAATATTATATGAAGATATTAACATGTGTAAATGAATCTTCTTATTTTAATTTAAGAAATGCAATCTTTAAGATAATTTTTATAATTATTTTAAGATTTAAAAAGTTGTTAGTTTTATATTGTATATATGTAAAGATATCGACATAATGAGAAAACAGATGTACATACTCAGAAAATCAGAATAGATTAATATGGTTTGAAATGAATTTCGGATTTTTAAAAGTACACTTTCGCAAATGAATTCTCTTCAATCCGGATGCATTTTTATTCATTTACACGAATAGGCTGAAGCATATTTTTATGTTTCTAAAAATAATATCAGTTTTCCTATGCCTCGTGCATACTTCTCAATTCAAAATTCAAAATAGGAAATGCAATTTTTCATTCCAATTGAATTCAGTTGAATCCAATTTAATCTAATTAAATAAAAAAAAAGTTTATTACTTAAAATATGCATTCGGATAGAATTTTAATCCACTTTAATCTATTCTTCTTTATTGAGTATTTCTTAACACGATTAAAATATATTTTTTTATTGAGAATTGAATTATAAATTTAATTATTAAATAGTTAAATATAGAAA